GCTCCAACACTGTGGAAGGGAATGTAAATTGATACAACCAGTATGGAGAACAATATGGATTTTTCTTAAAAAAAAAACTAAAAATAAAGCTACCATATGATCTAGCAATCCCACTCCTGGATATATATCTGGAGAAAACATGGTTCATAAGGATACATGCACTCCAGTGTTCATTGCAGTGCTGTTTACAATAGCCAACACAGAGAAGCAATTAAGTGTTCATCAATAGATGAATGGATGAGGAAGATATAGTACATATATATATAATGGAAGTTTTCTCTCTGACATGATCTCACAGGGTAACTACATCATGGATATTACTGTGATGGAATTACACCATCCTTGTTATTTATACAATAGTCAGCCTACTTAGAAAGCCAGATAGAGAAAGGACACTCACACATTTTGGCTGCAAGTGTAGGGAATACAATTCCCCACTCAAAAATGAGTGTTTCCCAACCATGTCTCTAGAGAATACCTGCTTCTAAGATAAAGTCTTTCAATCAAAGCAGATAATTAGTTCCTGGGAGAGAAAATTGCAGCTATAGACCAGGCCCTAGAACCTATATGGCAAACTTGGTAAATATCCATGCATGCAGTTGAAAAAGTCTTTTCTTGTTTACATTTTCCAGAGAAAGATTTGTCAAGAGTGGACGGACATATTTGAATACGTTTCCACCACACATTCTGCCTCCTAGCTTTTGGATCACCATTCATGAAAGATCATTTTGCCTTGGTATTTTAAGTGAATTTACTCTGAATTCAAGTCTCAGATTTTCTGTGAAATCTTTTTTAGTCTTTAGGCTAGAAGAAAAGATTTAGACCTATTCAAAGACTTACTTATCTTCTATTGACTTGATGTTGAATTATCTGAATAGCCTCTTTCTGAGTGTGTCACATCATTCCTATTGAAAGCTTCTTATCCAAACAGGAGGTCAATTTTAAAGTGGAATTAGTTCTGAACACCCTCAACTATCATTAATATCATCTAAGACCAGAAGGTAAGTTTTTCAATAGTACTGTTAGTAAATTAGTTAGGTTGTTATTTTCCATATATAGTAATTGTTATATTTTAATACTTTAAAAATACAATAATAACCTTTTACATTCACCACCTTTCTTCAAAAGATATTTGGTAAATGTCATAAACCTAATTTGATGAAGAAAACACTAGTCTGCCTGAGATTAAGAAATTTAAGACCCTTTTCTCTAATACCAGATATACTTATTTTGTCATTGGACAATTATTATAATAATCAAGACTATTCATGAGTATGAAAATAAAACTTAAATGAATTTCACACAAAAAAAGATATCAATGTGAATATTAGATGATATGAACCATCGCTTGTTTAGTTCAAACATGAATATGAAGAACTTCCTGGGAGCAAATGCTGAACATAACATGGATCTCTGTGATGTCTTAAAAGTAAAATTGGAGATGATTATTCCTCAGTCTATTGTATGGTTAAATGTTTGTATGCATTATTGCCAAAAATATCAGTTCTTCCTAATCGTGAGTGCATAAATAGCCATAAATAAGGAAGGTCTTCCGTGTGTCCCCAACAGTGTGGTGTATGCATTTAAACGTTTCTTTAATCAGTCCTCATAATAGCCTGTGAGGTGAGGTGGATTATACTTCTCACTTGATATTGAAAAACAAAAATGTGAGATGCCAAGAAATGCACCTCAGATCAACAAGTAGCAAGCGAGAAAAGGCAAGATTCTAATCTGGACCTTCTGATTCCCAAACCAATATGCTTACCCAATGGGATCACCATTTTCAACATCATTTGCACCATTTTGCAGAAGAGAGTGGGTTCATGCTTGTAGGGAAATTTTCAATGGAAGAAATATGGGAAGGGAAGAGAAAGAGATAAAATGGACCTTTAATGAAAGCAGTACCATATAGTTACTAATATTGGGGGATTTCAGGAAGTTATAATGTGGGTGTACATCTCTAAGCCTGTGTATACATTGATTCAGTTCAGTTCAGTCCCTCAGTCCTGTCAGACTCTTTGCAACCACATGGACAGCAGCACACCAGGCTTCCCTGTCCATCAGCAACTCCTGGAATTTACACAAACTCATGTCCATCGAGTCGGTGATGCCATCCAGCCATCTCATCCTCTGTCGTCCCCTTCTCCTCCCACCTTGAGTCTTTCCCAGCCTCAGGGTCTTTTCCAATGAGCCAGTTCTTCACATCAGGTGGCCAAAGTATTGGAGTTTCAGCTTCAGCATCAGTCGTCCCAATGAATATTCAGGATTGATTTCCTTTAGGATGGACTGGACTGGCTGGATCTCCTTGCAGTTCAAGGGACTCTCAAGAATCTTCTCTAACACCACACTTCAAAATCATCAATTCTGCAGCCCTCAGCTTTCTTTATAATCTAGCTCTCACATCCATACATGACCACTGGAAAAACCATAGCCTTGACCAGATGGACCTTTGTTGACAAAGTCATGTCTCTGCTTTTTAATATGCTATTTAGGTTGGTCATAACTTTTATTCCAAGTAGCAAGTGACTTTTAATGTTATGGATGCAATCACCATCTGCAGTGATTTTGGAGCCCCCCAAAATAAAGTCTGTCCCTGTTTCTATTGTTTCCCCATCAATTTGCCATGAAGTGATGGGAGTGGATGCAATGATCTTAGTTTTCTGAATGTTGAGCTTTAAGCCAACTTTTTCACTCTCCTCTTTCACTTTCATCAAGAGGCTCTTTAGTTCTTCTTCACTTTCTGCCATAAAGGTGGTGTCATCTGCATATCTGAGGTCATTGATATTTCTCCCAGCAATCTTGATTCCAGCTTGTGCTTCATCCAACCCAGCGTTTCTCATGATGTACTCTGCATATAAGTTAAATAAGCAGGGTGACAATATACAGCCTTGATGTACTCCTTTTCTATTTTGGGACCAGTCTCTTCTTCCATGTCCTGTTCTAGCTGTTGCTTCCCGACCTGCATACAGGTTTCTCAAGAGTCGGATAAGGTGGTCTGGTATTCCCATCTCTTTCAGAATTTTCCACAGCTTACTGTGATCCACACAAAGGTTTTGGCATAGTCAATAAAGCAGGAATAGATGTTTTTCTGGAACTCTCTTGCTTTTTGATGACCCAGCAGAGGTTGGCAATTTGTTTTCTGATCCCTCTGCCTTTTCTTAAAACCAGCTTGAACATCTGGAAGCTCACGGGTCACATACTGTTGAAGCCTGGCTTGGAGAATTTTGAGCATCACTTTACCAGTGTGTGAGATGAGTGCAATTGTGTGGTAGTTTGAGCATTCTTTGCATTGCCTTTCTTTGGGATTGGAATGAAAACTGACCTTTTCCAGTCCTGTGGCCACTGCTGAGTTTTCCAAATTTGCTGGCATATTGAGTGCAGCATTTTCACAGCATCATTTTTAGGATTTGAAATAGCTCAATTATTTGATTAAATTGCTCTCTCTATTGTAATAATTTTATAGGTTATAGTTTAAGAATTTGGATCAAAAATAAAAGTGTAATTTATTTATTTTTTTCCATTTATTTTTATTAGTTGGAAGCTAATTACTTTACAATGTTTTAGTGGTTTTTGTCATACATTGACATGAATCAGCCATGGATTTACATGTATTCCCCATCCTGATCCCCCCTCCCACCTCCTTCTCCACCCGATCCCTTTGGGTCTTCCCAGTGCACCAGGCCCGAGCACTTGTCTCATACATCCAACCTGGGCTGATGATCTGTTTCACCTTAGATAATATATATGTTTTGATGCTGTTCTCTCGAAATATCCCACCCTCGCCTTCTCCCACAGAGTCCAAAAGTCTGTTCTGTACATCTGTGTCTCTTTTTCTGTTTTGCACATAGGGTTAATTTAAACTAATCTTACCTTTGTTCTTTGTAGCTGCCTGAGTTTATGTAGAATTTTTAGCTTCTCTAAGCATCTCCTCCCTAATATGTAAAATAAGTATAAAAATGATAGTAGTAAACACAAGTTTTTAATTAAGCTTATATAATGAAGTATCTTAGGGCACAGTAAATATTCAGCAAGCTTTAGCTAATATTGCTAATATTACTAGTATATATTTACTCTTATATACTATTGTTTTTGTCATCTGCTATATGAATGAAATATACATAGATTGTAATCATGCCATGCATATGGCCATCAATCATCAAAGCAAATTTATCAAGTATTATAGAGTCACTAGATCTAGGAGGCATGTTTATTTTATTGGGCTTCCCAGTGGCTCAGCTAGTAAAGAATCTTCCTGCAGTGTGGGAGACCGGGGTTCAATTCCTGGGCTGGGAAGATCCCCTGGAGCCTGGAGGAGGGAACAGCTACCCACTCCAGTGTTTTGGCCCAGTAGTTTATTTACCTTCTCATTCCTTTCCCGTTCCCAGTGCTCTGTCACACTTATGTGAACTATTTATAAAGAGCCTGCTACTCATGTTCTTATGTCTTCCATCCCCTTACTAACCCTCATCCCACTCCATAGAATTCAGAAAAAGATTGTTTTTGGAATTACAGCCAACACACCCTCTCTCTCACATCCCTCCTCATCCTTCCTCTCACATTTTCATTTAACTTTAATGTTTTCTCATTTCCTAAGAATAAAGGGAAAATCCCTTGCTTTTGCATCCATAGCCTTTGCATCCATTTTCTACCTTTCATCTCAGGTTTGTCTGCCTCTATGTGTGAGATCTATTGATTCATGTTAAGCTTGAGTCATCTCACATGAACACCTGTGCACAGAAAATCTCCCGCCTGTGTGTTCACAGAGCCCCTCATGTGTCTAAGCTCTAAGCATTATCTCTCTCCAGGGGAGTCTGTGAGCTGTCTTCAAGAGATCAGAAACATTTTTCCTATATCCAAAAAAGAATTCAAAAATTCAGAACTCTATAGAATCTGGGCATTTATTTTTTATTACATAGAGAGGCTTAGGGAACTCAAGGTTGAGGTGATGAAAAGTAACTTTTTTTTTTTCAGGTGACATAATGAACCGTAATATAAAATACATGGAGAATAGGAACAACGTGACCGAGTTTGTTCTCTTGGGGCTCACGCAGAATCCAAAGTTGCAGAAGGTCGTATCTGTTGTGTTTTTGGTCATCTACATCATCTCTGTGGTAGGAAATATGTTCATCATGGTCACCATCATAGTCAGTCCATTACGGAGTTCTCCCATGTACTTTTTTCTGGCCTATCTCTCCTTTATTGATGCTTGCTACTCCTCTGTGAATACCCCTAAACTGATCTTCGATTCCCTCCGTGAAAGGAAGACCATCCTGTTCAATGGATGCATGACCCAAATCTTTGGGGAACATTTCTTAGGAAGTGCTGAGGCCATCCTGCTCACTGTGATGGCCTATGACCGCTATGTGGCCATCTGCAAGCCCTTGCACTATACAAGCATCATGAACTGGAGGGTGTGTGGGCTGCTAATTGGAGTGGCATAGGTAGGAGGCTTTCTTCATGGAATCATACAGATCTTTTTCATCTTCAGATTACCCTCCTGTGGCCCTAATGTCATCGATCACTTTTTCTGTGATCTGAACCCTTTGTTAAATCTTGCCTGCACTGATACTCACACTCTAGGATTATTTGTTGTTGCCAACAGTGGTTTCATCTGCCTTATAAACTTCATCCTCTTGATGGGCTCCTATGTGGTCATTCCGCGCTCCCTAAGGAAACACAGTTTGGAGGCGAGGCGCAAGGCCCTCTCCACATGTGTCTCCCACATCACGGTTGTCACCATACTCCTCATGCTCTGCATTTTTGTATATCTGAGACCACCAGTTACTTTACCAGTTGATAAAGCAGTGGCTCTATTCTACACTATGATAACTCCCATGTTAAATGCCTTTATCTATACTTTGAGAAATGCCCAAATGAAAAATGCCATTAGGAATTTGTGTAATAGACAAGCTATTTCAGGTGATAAATAAGAGGAGACCAGCATTGATTCTCATGGTGCAAAGTTCAGAAGGACTTTGCTGATACTTTCAGCAAAGAAGGCCTTTGAGATAAATACTACTATATATTTATAGCTACTATAAATCATAGATTCTGCAGTGGGGAGAAGAAATGGTGCATGAAAAGTGAGACAAACTGGCAGGAGACTACTTTTTCATGTTTGGAGCATTTTACCAAGTAGATGCTTAGTTTTTCTAGCTTTATCTATCTATATGCTTTAATAAATCCATTCTAATAAAAAATAAACACAGTGATATTGAGCAGTAATCTCTGTAACTATCCAAAGAAGTAGGCATTACTATTATCCTCATTTTATAGGTGATTAAGCAAATAGAATGGGAAGGTTCCAAAAGAGTAATATTGAAGAACCATATTTTTAGCTGCTTTCTCAGACCATATTCTTAACTGTGGAGATATGCTGTCAGACAATGATACAAAGGTAACATAATTATGTTGTTCAGTTGCTAAATCATTTCTGACTCTTTATGACCCCATGGACTGCAGCACCCCAGCCTCTTCTGTCCTCCACTCTCTCTTAGAGTTTGCTCAGACTCATGTCTGTTGAGTTGGTGATGCTATCCCACAATCTCATCTGCCTCGCCCTTCTCGTTTTGCCTTCAATCTTTCTCAGCATGAGGATCTTTTCCAATGAGTCAGCTCTTTGTATCAAGTGGCCAAAGTATTGAAGCTTCAGCTTCAGCGTTAGTCCTTCCAATGTATATTCAAGGCTAATTTCCTTGAGGAAAGACTGGTTTGATCTCCTTGCAGTCCTAGAGACTCTCAAGAGTCTTCTAAAGCACCACAGTTCAAAAGCATCAATTATTTAGTGTTCAGAATTCTTTATGGTCCAAATTTCACATCTGCACATGACTACTGGAAAACCTAGTGATACTACTTACCATTTATTGAGATAGGGACTGTGCTGAGATTGTATATATGGTGTGTGCTAAGTCGCATTAGTCATGTCCGACTGTTTGGGACGCTATGGGCTGCAGCCCATCGGGATCCTCTGTCCACACATATACATGTGTGTCTCTGGTATGTGGTATGTGACACCGTGGTACATAACTCCCCTCTAGGTCATCACAGAGCGCCGAGCTGAGACCCTGTGCTCACAGCAGCTTCCCCCTGTTTGACACATGGTATTTTCAATGCTCTTCTCTCAGCTCACCCAGCCCCTCTTTCCTCCACTGTGTCCACAAATCAGTTCTCAACATCTGCACCTCTAGTCCTACCTTACACATCAGTTCATCTTTGCCTCTTCTCTAGATTCCATATGTATGCATTAATATATGATAAGCAATGAAACATTTAAACTCTAAGGAGAATTTAAGGAATGTTGCACAATATTCCAAATTTTCTTATTGCATTAAGCATCATTTTGTATTGCTCATGTCACAATCTTATCCTGATAACCCATCAAAAGGAGTGAAGATCCAAGTAAAAGAATAGTCTAATATCAGACAGGAGTTTCAATTTATTAAACAAATTAAGTCATACTCTGTAAAATATTTACCTACTTGCAAATAATATCATCTTCAAGGCCCAGTGTCTGATTTATGATAAATGCTAGATGAATGTATGTAAGTATAAGGGAAGATGAATAAATTCAATAAAATATCAGGCAGCATGTAGTATTGCAGACTAGGAAATTTTTTCTACCTTTATCTATTTCAGATTCAGAGAATTAATCTAGGTATATGTCTTTTGAAAACTAAGATTTGGTTTTATTCCTGCATAAACTAGGAACAAGGAAGAAATTGAAAACAAACCTGTTATCTTTTGAACACATAATTTACCTTGATAGTCTCCCAGTCCTAAGCATGATATCATCATCCTGTTTTTTCCTATATTTCTCTGTCAATATTTTTAAATATTTATTATTTTTGTATTGATTATTCTATATTGATTGGTTTTTATATTTTGATTTAAAAATTTAAAAAATGTTTCTGTATTTCCTTTTAGGTAACATTTCATTATAAAACAGTGTTTTTTTGGTTTGTATTTAATCTGTAGCTCCATTTACACAAAAAACAACCCCAGCATAAATACATTCCATTCATTTCATGCAACCTACATTCATTAAACAAGAAATATTATTTTTGTATTGATTATTTTATATTGATTGGTTTTTATATTTTGATTTAAAAATTAAAAAAATGTTTCTGTATTTCCTTTTAGGTAACATTTCATTATAAAACAGTGTTTTTTTTTTGGTTTGTATTTAATCTGTAGCTCCATTTACACAAAAAACAACCCCAGCATAAATACATTCCATTCATTTCACCCAACCTATATTCATTAAACAACAAATATTTTTTTCAGCCCAATGAATATATCAGATAGTGACAGTTGTTGGGGCTTCAGCAGTGCATACAGAAAAACCTGAATGATGTCTTCACAGAGCTTAGATCTATAGACTCCTAGAAGAGAGTAAAAAATTACAGCACAGTGTTATAAACGGTAAGATAGTGGAAACAAGGGTACTTACTCTGAAAGCACTTTTGAGGGATACATAACAAAGATCTCAGGGTTCAGGTGAGAAAGACATCATAAATGGGACTCAAAGAGTCAACGGCAAGAATAGACATCAGATGGTTCTAGAATGTTTTAGGAGAGGAAACATGTAACAAAGTCCAGAAGGTGAAATGTGTACACAGACTCCTCATAAATGTCACATAGCTGTGGTTGTTAAACTTTTTATTCAACAACTCTTCACTGAATATGCACCGCATTCCAGGAAGAATGCTAGACACTTAACTTCTAAAGGGCAAATAGCAAGATAAGGAGCTGGAATATCCAACTCTGTGAAGAGTCGGACTTGACTGAGCGACTGAACTGAACCGAAGCTGGTGTGGTAGGAACAGGTAAGACTGGGGAGGGCCTCGTCATGGTGCTAAGGCTTAAAACTCAGTACTCTGTGCTGTGCTGAGTCACTCAGTCCTGTCTGACTCTTTGCGACCCCATGGACTCTAGCCCTCCAGGCTCCTCTGTCCATGGGGGTTCTCCAGGCAAGAATACTGGAGTGGGTTGCCATGATATTAAAAGATCATTTTTTTTTCATATTGAAGTATAGATGATTTCTTACATTGTGGGTTTCAGGTGGACAGTGCAGTGATTTCGGTTATATAAATATTTTTCCCATTCTTTCTGGAAGATATTTTAAGTTAGCACATGATGCAATTAGATTTAAATTTTAGAATAAAAACTTTGGCTATAGTGAAAAAGTATTAGTTGCTCAATCGTGTCTGACTCTTTGTTATCCCATGGACTGTAGCCCACAAGGCTCCTCTGTTCATTGGATTCTCCAGGCAAGAATACTGGAGTGGGTAGCCATCCCCTTCTCCAGGGCATCTTCCCAGCCCAGGGATCAAACCCGGGTCTCCTGCATTGCAGACAGATTCTTTGCCATCTGAGCCACCAGGGAAAGTGTTTGGCTGTAGTAGAGAAAGTGAATTGAAGGGTACAAGTAGCAGAATGTTAGGGAGGCTACTGTAATGATTTGGATGTGAAATGATGGAGGTGTGACTTCTGGTGGTGCCAGTGTGGTGAAGAATATTGTAGGCCCTCTGCATCTGGTCAAACCTCATTCGCTGCACAGATGCACCTGGAACACAGATGCACCTGGAACACAGCTGCTGTTTGCCTGGGCTGCTAAAAGCTCACAGCCCCATTCTTTGTGGACAGCTGCAAGAGAGAGAATTGGATATGACTCATTGGAGATTATACCCACCATCCGAGGGACCATGAGTACACCATGAACGACTGGAGCAGCACTGAGAAGGCTGGCCCCCTTGATGGATGGTGGAACCAGTACTGCAGGACAATATACATTCCAGGGCTCCAGGGCTCCACGGCCCTAGGCTAAAGCTAAACTCTAACTGAAAGCATATCCTTTGTTTACACCTACCATAGGCCGCCTCGTTCAGTCTTTCTCTTGTAAATTGCTTTCATGTCAGGGTCTTCATTATGGGGAACCCAAACAAAATCCAAGAGATAGAGAAGAGCTCAAGCAATATTAAGGAATTATAAACAACAACAACAACAAAAAAAGAACTTAATATAGGATGAAGGTATGAAAAGAGTCATAAATGAAATCCAGATTCCAGCTTAGAACACTAGAGGTTTGGGGGAATTGAGAAGAAGGACTTAAGGTGAGTGTTCTTTACCAGTGAAGAGGTCTCTCCAACCCCGAAGACAAGACTATGCGTCCTGCCTGTAGAATTAACCCTTTATTGGCTGAAGAAAGTGTAACGGCCTCCCCTGCAGCAGTTGCCATGAAAGACCATGCTGATTCTCTGGAGGACCCACCTCAGCTCCCCCCATTGCTTCTGATTCTGTAACTTGTCTCAGGTGCCAGTAGGCACCTGGAAGCAAGGTACAGACAGGGACACTGGAGGAGCTGAACTACACTCCAAAAGAACTACTTGAGTTTTCTAATTTATACAGACAGAA